ACCAACGACTACTATATAAACATTTATAAAAGAACCAATGAGTGATGAAGTATACATTTAAATAAGTGCATAGACAACATCAGGTATTGGGATTAGTAGCTGGAATTGTCAAAGCAGTGTGCCTCGCTCTGTCCAGGATGCTGTGCAGTGCCATAATTAAGTGAAGTAGACAGTGGGATTGGAGGCTAAGAGCCCACAGTCTTCAGCAGTCCCCACTGCCTTGTCCACAAAGGCTGCTGCCAATTTCATCAGAGAAGGAAATGCTAAATTTCAGGTGGAAGGTAATAATGATAGGATTTCTTTTTCAGTCTCCATGAATCTATATACAGGACCTCGAGGCTAAGAGCTCCTGATCCAAGCTGGAAAGATAGCTCCATGGTTAAGAGCACTGGCTGGTTTTCCAGAGGACTCAGGGTCACTTTTTAGCACCCACATGGCAGCTCATAACCATCTGTAACTCCATGTCTTAGTTAGGGTTTTTGTTTCTGTGAAGAGACACCATGGTTTGTAACGGAAAACATTTAATTGGGACCGTGTTACAAGTTCAGAGATTTAGTTCATTGTCATGGTGGGAAGCATGGCAGCACACAGGCAGACATGGTACCAGAGAGGAGGCTGAGAGTTCTTTATCTGGATCAGCTGGCAGCAGCAAGAAAGAGAGACTGGGTCTGGCTTGAGCATCTGAAACCTCAAAGTCCTCCCCCAGTGATGTACTTCCTCCAATAAGTCCACACCCACTCCACCAAAGCCACGCCTCCTAATATTTCCGCTCCCTATGAGCCTATGGGGGCCATTTTCATTAAAACCAGGTCCTGAGGACCTGACACCCTCCCCTGGCCTCATTAGGCACTGCATGCTGGTGGTGCACAGACAAACATGCAGGCAAAATGCCCATACACATAAAAGAAAAAAGGAAAACAAGGGACTCCTGACCCACATGTGGCATAACCTGAGGACAACGGGAATGCTTGTGAAATCAGGTAATTCTGCCTGTTGTTAGTGTCTTGGGAGTAGTAAGTGTGCTGAGCTGAAGAGAGACATTTGTGGTTTTGGTTGCTTTCTGATCTTAAAAAATTACCATTATCGTGTGTGTGCATGCTGCTGTAGGAAGTCCGTGCCATCATGTGCACATGGAGGTAAGAGCGTGACTTAAAGGAGTCTGTTCTCTCCCTCCATGTCACTTTGGTTCTGGGGATCCACCTCAGATCATTAGGTTTGTGTAGCAGAGACCTTTACCCACGGAGCCACGTCACCAGCCCAGTTTCTGAGTGTTGACTGCCTGTTTGAGAACTGGAATGTGTTGTGTCTTGCAGATAGCAGTTCTTTAAACACTGAACAAAAGGGCTCCTGGGACTCCGAGAACTTCTGGCTTGATCCTTCCACGAAAGGCCAGTTGGAGACCAGTGAAGAGGAGGATGGACTCCGGACATCACTGGACAGATTCTATGAAGCATTTGCCCGTCCTCTGCCGGACTCCGGGGACCAGCTCTCTGCCCCTGTGTGTCGGTGTCTGTCTCAGGCAATCTCTGAACTTGAGGGCCAGGAGAGCCAGAAGTACACTCTCCGCAGTTTCCAGATGGCACGAGTTATCTTCAGTCGGGATGGCTGCTCCATCCTACAGCGGCATTCCAGGCAAACCCGCTTCTACCCTCTGGAACAAGGAGGCAACTCTTTGGAGGACGAAGAGCCCACCCCAGGACTGTCAAGAGAGATCGTTCATTTCCTCTTGGAGCAGAACGTAATGAAAGACTCATAGCTGGGGCTGGTGTGAAAGTTGGCAATGCTGGAGGGGAAGTGCTGTATCTTGGCCCTCAGAACCCCTGAGGGGTCTCCTGGTAGCTTCTTGCTTCCAGCCATTAGCTACAAGCTTTGCAGGTAGAGGCCGGCACCAGGGAGCTAGTAAGCCTCTAGGTGTGCCACCCACCACTCACATTGGCGAAGGCTGCTACTGACTCAACTAGGGTTCCTTGCCTTAGTCTGTGTTCCAGAGTGTTCTGCTGGGGTCCAGACCAGGGCTAGGACTTTGGCAGGAAATCACTTCCTTGCTTGGTTCATTCCTCCTCCCACTCACCTCCTGGTGTCTCTGGGGCCTTTTCTTAATAAACCTTTATATCCACATCCTTGACTCAGTCTACTCCTGGGAGAACAAGCCTTGGAGAACTAGCTTCTGGGAGATGAGTGTTTTGAGGATATACATTGTGCTGAATCAAGGGTAACAATCGTACAGAGTTGTCAATGGGGACCAATCAATTGGCCGGAAGCAATGGAAAGATTTAAAAACTCTTCCAGATACCACATCACATCCTAATCATACCTTCGCTCCTCCCCAAAACCAAAATTCCCTGTTCTATATTGACAGTGGGGAAGGAACATTTGGACCATCTACAAAGCTAAAATTCACTCACAAAGAGGCTTCTTCAGGTCCACTAGATTGCAGTGTGCAAGGTGAGGAGATACACTGGACTGTCCACTCGGGATGTGTGAACATAGGCCTAATGTGTAAGGTTGGCACTGTGTGACCCTGCAAGTTTGTGCTTAAAGGGAATAAGGAATCCTTTGCCCGCCAGCTTTTCCCTCTCCTTGTTACTTTTGCCCTCTGTCCACTGCCAGCATCCCTTGTCATCCTCTGAAGAGTTGCCCCTCATTCCTGCCCTGTTCTTGCCTCCAGCATCCAGAGCTCCAGTGCATATGCTTGCCCTGAGCAGGCCTTTGCTGTCACCTGTGCCCGGCCTCCAGGCAGGTACACAGCCTGACAGGGAGCTCTTTAAATAGCTAGTTCAGGCTTGCACTGGCAGATGCTCCACTCTGCGGGTTGCGTCCTGAGCCCCAGTTTGAGAATTACGTCAGCTGGCACCAGGAGCTCTGAAACAGTAATTGGAAGCCTCATAGAGTTCCGCAAGCAAATTACCTCAGTAGAAAGGCCCATTTCCCTCATTTGGGGGAATAGAAAACGCCAGCATCACTGCACAGTTGGAGTCTGTGAAACTTGAGGTGAAGTTTAATTGGCATGAGGCGCCAAAGCTTTTCAGAAAGTGGATTATGCAAATTGGGCAGCCTAAAGTGCACCCTAAAAGTCAGTACATTGCAGAGTCTCTTGGGGACTCTTGTATGGAAAGAAGCCTAAAAGGAAGTAGGGGTGTGAGCAGGCTTCCAGGTCAGGGAAGGTCCGAGGTGAGACTTCCACACAGAAACGTCGAGGCACATGTGCAGGGATTCCATCTGGTAAGAAATTGTGTGAGTAGGACCTTGGGGGGCACTCACAAATGGGGCTCCAGCTCTCCCCCTCACAGGTAGTCACCTGCTACTTCCTCCTGTTCAACAGCCTATTCGGTAATCATGAAACCGGTGCAATTTCAAACCTGCAGGTCAGATGTGAAGGCTGTTGGTCTTATTGTTTTAACTTAAAGCATGCCAGGAGACACCCGTGAAGAATGGTGAAAATAATCTAACCAAGGGCATACTCACAGTTCGTCTCCATGGCTATCAGTGGAGGGAACCTGGGTTATTCTATGCTTGTTTTTAAAAGGCAACAAAAAAGCTGTTTGACTCTTCAGGTTAGGAGGTAGTGGTTTCTATTTTGAAGGGAGTTTTTAATATCAAAGACTACCTACACTTCCCTGAGGTCAGCACTGAAGGGGTTCAACAAGAGGAAGCCTCTGATGGTACAGCGTGGGAGAGTAAAAGCCAGGGTTGCCCTGGGGAAGCACAGTGAATGGTGTGTGTTCACTTAAATCTGCGTAAGTGTTTGTGACAGGCCAGCGCAAGATATCTGATTCTCTGGGGTCCTGCCCCTTAACTCAATCTCTGGGAGGATAGAGTGGCTTTTTCCATTTATCTCTGTGAACCTTTAATAAAGATTAAGATAAGACCCAGCAGCCCAGGCCTTTGGCAGGATTGCCTGTTTCAGTACCAAGGGTAAATTCACGACACCTTATCAGCTCATGAACACTGTGAGGGGCCTTAGGACATCATCTGTGATGTTTTCCAGAGCCCCAGAGCCCCAGAGCCTTTGTGAGGGTCACTTTGTTCCAGAAACATCAAATCCTGAAGATGCGAACTGCTGGCCCAATCTGAGGTTCGCGTCCTGTGCTCGGGACATTAGCCTGTTACTCCAGGTGACTCATGCTCGGGATTGGAGCCTGGGACCTTGGACTAGCTCAGCCTGCAGTCCTCTATTGAGTTCTACCCGAACCACAGTGATTGCTCTTTGGGAACATGTGGCTGATCATATTATCAGTAAATTCAAAGTACAACAGCAGCAGTTCTGTTTAAAGTTGGAAAGGTTTTTAAAAATGCTATATTGGAAGGAAAAGGAAAGAAATGGGTTTTAAACACACAAAAAAATGTTGTATTGGATTCACAGTTACACACAAAAGTGCATACATTTTATATGTGAATGTCAGTAATTCTCACAGGCTGAACCTATCTGTGCAACCCGAATGTTCCTTGAGCTATAAGACCCAGTGCTGCCCCTAAGGGAAGGGTTCCATATGCAGAACTGATGAGGGCAGTGGGCACTGCCCTGTTTTCTTGGGGTGCTGAGCAAACACATGGATAGTGTTTCTTTCATTGCTAACCTGTGCTGTTCAACATGCTAGGGAAATACAAATACTGCATGCAATCCATGGTTTTAGATGGCAGTGTTCATCTAAATATAAGTTTAATATGTTTAAAATGTAAAGGGCTAATTTAATCATAGAGTAGGTGACACCAGATGCTCAAAAGTTTAGAACTGTGATGTGCCCCCAAATCGCTGAAGTCCAAGATACAGTAGAATAGATTATTCTAGGGGCTTGTGGGTAACTACAGGGTGGAATGGAATAGGATGGAACACATTCATGTTTCAAGCTACCTTTGCCTCTCTTCGCCACAGTGAAAGATATTTTAAAAAGAAAAGCATTCATGAATGATCAGACAATATAAAAGACTAGTGATATCAAAATAGGAAAATAGTTTCTGGCTAGTAATTGAAGCAGTACCAATGTAAAAGTGGATACATCAAAGGAAAGGATTGCGTCCATAAAGCAGTGTGGTAGTTTGAAAGAAAATGGTCCCCATAGGGAGTGGCATTATTAGGAGGTGTGACCTTATTGGATGAAGTGTGTCACTGTGGAGGTGAACTCTGAAGTCTCATGTATGCCCAAGCCACTCCCAGTGAGTCAGCCCATTTCCTGTTGCCTTCTGATCAAGATGTAGCCAGCACCATGTCTGCCTGCAAGCCACCATGCTCCCCACCATGATGATAACGAACTGAACCTCTGAACTGTAAACTGCCACCTCAATTAAATGCTTTTGTTTGTAAAGTTGCTGTGGTCATGGTGTCTCTTCACAGCAATAGAAACCCTAATTAAGACAAGCAGATATGCAAATTGATTACATAATGAATGTGGCATTTCAAATTAGGCATGGCTGGGGATGTAGCTTGGCATTGACCTATATAACATGCACGTGGTCCTAGGTTCATCGCCAACACAGGAAGAAGAAAATGTAAGACAAAGACAGCTGTCAGCAATGGTTTTGGAATGACAGACTCCCTGCTTTGGGAGAGGGAGAGTCAAAATAGAAAGCTGGGCTCCCCATCTCACTTCTTATATCCAAATGTCTTCTAGATGGGTATCGGGGTAAAAAAAAATCTATATAATAAAAGTGTAAGATATATATATATTTTATATTATACATATATTATACACAGGCATATGGGGAGAAAAAGATGTCTTGGATTGGGGAAATCTTTCTAAGAATTGCTTTTAAACAGAAAATCCTTAAAATTTCAAAGAAATTTTGATGAAATTGTCTAAAAATATATACCTTCTGGTCTGGTAAGAATGATTCAAGAGGTGCTTGCTGCCGAGTGTGGTGATCTACCTGGGCTTGATCCCAGGACTTCATAGCAGGAGGAGAGGGGAGAGCTGACTTTAGCGAGTTGTCCTCTGACCTCGAAGTTGTACTGGTGCGCACATGTGATTTTTTTTTTTTGTCAACTTGACACAAACTTAGCCATATGTAGGAAGAGGGAATCTCAACTGGGGCCTCCATCAGATCAGCCTGTGCACGTGTCTATGGGGCATTTTCTTGATTGTTGATTGATTTGGGAGGGCCTAACCCACTGAGGATAGAGCCATCTGTGGGTAGGTGGGCCTTGGCTGTAAAAGAAAGCAAGCCAGCGTAAACAAGCCAGAAAGCAGCCTTTCTCCATAGCTTCTTCAGTTCCTGCCTCCAGGTTTCTGCCTTGGCTTCCCTTGTTGATGGACCTGTAAGATAAGAAAAACCTTCCCTTGCCCATGTTGCTTTCAGTTAGATTTGTTGTTGTTGGTTTTTTGAGACAGGGTTTCTCTGTGTAACAGGTATAGCTGTCCTGGAACTAACTCTGTAGACCAGGTTGGCCTCGAACTCACAGAAATCTGCCTGCTTCTGCCTCCCAAGTGGTGGGATTAAAGACATACACCACCACCGCCTAACTGGTTAGGGTTTTTATCACAGCAACAGAAATTAGACTAAGAAACAATATACAATGAAGCTAAAGGTTGATTCTTCAAAAATATGAAGCTGAATAAATCTTTCAAATCACCAGTAACACTGTGTGACAGTAACAGTGTCATTGATAAAACTACACCCAGCTGAAGGTTGGGTACAAGGCAAATGGGGAAAGCTGACCAATATCATCTACCAATAGCAATATCCGTGTTGTGATAGTATACTATAGTTTTGCATAGTGAAGCCAGTGAGGGAAATGAAGTAAAAAATATTCAGGATATCTATTATTTCTCACAGCTGCAGATGCTATACACTTATAACAAAATCTAAAATACAGTTGAAAATACTGAAGGGAGATGGCTCAGTAGGTAAAGCACTTGCCATACGATTCTGGGTGTTTGAGTTCGTGCCCTGGGACCACATAAAGGTGAACGGAGAGAACTCACTCTCCGAAGTTATTCTCTGATCTCTACACACGTGATGTGGCAGGTGTGCATACACACTAGTCCACATGGAGTAATAATAATCAATAAATGCAGTCTAACAATGAAGGGCCAGGCATTAGGTCACACTCGCCAACAATCCCAGCTCTCAGCAGTCTAAAGCAAGATCAACCTGGGCTGCATAGACCCTGTCTCAAAAAA